GACTGTGCACAGTATTGGTTAATTATCACGGTGGCGAACTCGGACGATGACGATGCATTTGGAATGAAGTTCAATGTTGGTAGTATCATTAACTAGTTCTCATAGAGCCGGTTTCGACCCTCATCACTTTGATGAACATCTTAAGTTTATTAGATTTGAATTATCTATATCTCATTTGATGGTTTGGATATAATTTTTTTATTTGTTCAAAATAATTATTTTAATATATATAATTTAAAATAGAGATAATCTCTCTCAAAAAATAGTTTTTTCTATTTAAAAATAATTGATCAAAGATTGCAAATATGAACTGTTTAAATCAAATGTAGATGATTCACATATGATAATTTTAGGATGCTCACGAGAATGACGAGTGCTGAAACTGGTTGTTACGTTCTCATATGTAACTCTGGTCTTGCCCTTGAGGGGTCCCGTACGTGTTGATGAAGACTTTGCCCGCATATTGCGTATGTATTTCGCATTCTGATCATTTACTTATGAAAAGAATGCGCTAGCTAGTAAATGACGTTTTCTCAATGGAACCAGTTCAGAAAGTAAATCAATACTCATCTTCATTTATCTAGCTTATGAATGAAAAGAATACGCGAGCTAGTAAATGAGGTTTTCTCAAATGCTTCGATATGCGGTTCAACACGGCCTGCTTCTTTTGAGGGTGAAAAAGAACTTTTAAACTCCAAACTATGATTTGGACTAAAAAATATCTGAACACGTCAGTGTTTTACAAAACTATAGTTTGGATCAAAATTATAGTTTTAGCCTCACAAACCATAGTTTTAGAAAAAGCCAAAAAAAATTTGCTTTTGGGGCTAAAAACCTGGTTGCTAGAATAATCATTATGAATGTCTCAAAAAATACCTCTTCAAATTGAATAAAAAACTGGCCTTGTCTCCTCGCTGAGGTTCCTTGCCCTTCAAATTATTAATAAGTTTAATGATTAATAAATTTTTTAATGTGTGTTTATTTAATTTTATAAAAAAAAATATATCATGGAATTTTATGTTTATAATCTTTAAGGTAAAATAATGTTTTTCTGTAGGTAAAAAAAATTATTTTTTAAAAAACATTTTGAATCTTATATTTTATAAATATATATACACATACTAACAATTAATTATATTTTTTACATTTTATTTATAATATTGAAAAAAAATTATTAACAAATTTATTACTTCAAATGAAATTATGTATTAAAATCTATCTTTTATATAATTATTATATTAACTTATATTTTTTTGATAATTTGTACATAAAAAATACTTCTGATTACAACTATCCAAACATTATCACTTTATCAAAATTTATTTTTCATAAAATTTATTTTTTTCAAAATCTATTTTCAAGATTATTTTTTAAATTATGGTTTGGTTCCGTCCCAACACCCAACATATTGATTGAGGGCATCGCATGCATCCATCCCATTCCGCGAAAGAACAAAGCTGGCCCAGCCGACAGGTCAATTCCACACCGGCTTCAGAAATGAGCTATCCTGATTTAATGACTTGTTATCAAAATTCTATAATTGTATTTGAAAATAATTGGTTGAGTCGGATGAGAAATCACCCAAAAAATAGCAGAATTTATTTTCTTATTTGTATTTATAAATTTAATATATGTAAAATACGACGCTGACAGATCAACTCAGTAAAGAATAAATTTTCACTGTATTTTTTAATTTAATTCTCCATGAAATATTTGAATCCGCCTGAACTCATTGAACTTTTGGTGATAAACCCCGAATTCATACTTTACAATTTCAGAGTGCATTTCTTCGATGGTGTTAATTTTTTATTGATATATATATATATATATATATATATATAAGTTACATTGTTTTTTTGTGGGGATCCGTAACATATTTTTAAATGTACCGTTGTGTGATTTATGAGATGACTTTTGACTTTTAAAAAAAAAGACTGTACATTAATGCATACTTATTTTAAACTAATTAATTAAATTGACGCGACCAACCTTAAATGTGTCAGTTTCTAGAGTTAGCTAGATTACCATCAACAAATAAATAATTGAGAAATTAATTTAATTTTAAATCTGTACAGTTACATATACACTTGCAAAAGTATCAAAAAATTTTGATCGCTTTGTGTTAGAGATGAAAACATGTTTAAACCTTCTGTTCCCAGATCATACAAAAACATGTATTAAAAAAAAAAAGAACATACAAAAAGGAAAAACAACGATAAACGGGGACGACAATTGTGTCGCCGAAATCCATTTTGGCTCGCTCCACTCATCGCAGCAACAACTTCTTGCTATTCTTTAACGCATCCTGTACGATCTGCATCTAATTTTTACAGAATAAAAAGTGAAGTCATCAAACTTAATTATGAATATTCTGCTCTTCGTTAATTAAATTTTGCGTCATGTTATTTGTTGATAAAAATAATTGGAGATGGAGCTCATTAAATGCTTGCTTAAATTGTGTCATAAGTTATTTAATAATATGTTTTTCTAATACGAGCATATAATTTAAAATGATAATTATTACGAAAAATTAATCTTTTAGGTTTTCAACTTTTAACTCACTTATAACTCAATTCCTCAAATATAACTCGATGTAATTCAATTCCTGACTCGATTAAAACTCAATCTCTCATCCTTTTATCATTTATAATTTTGTCTTTTGCCATTAATAACTCATACTGACTCATTGTTACATCGTCTTACATGACAAAGAAATTTATTAATGTCATCTTAATTACATGGCACCATGGCCATCCTCATCATCATCAGAGCACCGTCCGAGTCTCAAAACCGAGCGTTGCGAGTTTGGCGTTTCTGGACTCTTTCTTGCTTCTTAGTCTTAAGCATTCTTAGTTCTCTATTCTCTTTTTGCAGAGCTTGGCTTGCTCTGTTTCTGTCTTAGACCATAGGCACCATATCCTCACTTGCGTCACGTGTTTGTGTTCATTCTTTACTCATATGACAGTTCAAAGATCGTTAAAATTGCGGAGAGCAACAAATACAGAAGTAGAAGAACAACTTAAGAAGGCAGCTTAGTTTGAATCATCGTCATCTATCAGCTTCACCAACGTACTGGGTGTTCTTGCTTATCACTTCGACCGTATATACTCAATTTCTCGGTTATATGTTCTCCATGCCATTTTAACTTTGTATATAAGATCAGGGGAGTACGTGAGGAATTTAAAATTTGTCTCCATAATAACTATCATGAAAATTGAGGCCTTTTTTTGTAGCAGACTTGACCATTGCAGTTTCAGATGATCTCTTCCTCCATTTTCTGGTTTTCTTTGATTGGGAGAATTGCAATTAGATCCTAAAATTCAAGTTAAGAATACTTAGGTGTCAAAATATTGCAGCTCCTCCTCCACAATCTTGCAACTGAAGATTGTCTTGAGACCTCACTGTTATTGCTACGTTGAAATCTAACTGAAATTATCCCTTTGATGATAAACTCGAGGAGTAATACATTATTAATTGCTGAAACACGTTCAAATGATTGGTTTTAATTTGTTTCATTCTTTAGCGTTTCTTCAAACCTTTTTTTCCCCTGTATTGGTGTTCACCATTTTAATGGGTCACCACAAGTGAGAATACATCAATTTTTCAGAGGGAAAAAAGAAAAAAAAAGAAAAGAACATATGGAGCGTATGACCAGAAATAGAGCAGTAGGCCCTGCTGGTGCTTAAGCTGAAAGAGAAGAATAGAGAAGTAATGCCCAGCACTAAGAAGCAAGCATGGTCATTCAGTTAAAAAACGCCAAACTCACAACACTTTGTTTTGACTCTGATATGATGATGATGTGGACGGCAATAGTGCCATGTAAGATGATATTAATAATTTTTTTTGCCATAGATAACAATGAGTCAGCATGAGTTATTATGGGAAAGGACAAAATTATAAATAATAAAAAGATAACGGAATGAATTTTAATTGAACCAAAAGTATAGAATGAGTTATATCAGGTAAACTAAGTTATAAGTGAATTAATAGTGGACGGAAATTTTGCCCTGCATATAGTATTCTACATTGAGAATTTTTTGGGCGAAGCTTCCCAAATACGACAAAAATTAGCGACTTTGACCGGGTCTCCTCTCATTCTACACTGACAACTCCTGGTAAAGCTCGTCACCGACACCACTGTCATAGGCAGCACTTTTATCCATGATGTGGAGGGCTTTTTACGCGGTTTTTAAGACATACTTAATTTCAGGGGTAGCAGGAGTAAATATGCTTTTTACGTCCAAGTATACGTTTTTCTTCAAACAAATTAAAGTGGTAGATAATTAAACAAGTCATAATGTAGAAATATATTATGTACAGTAGATTTGGGTTGGGTGCGATCGCCACTGAGAAAGATAATTGAAGAACTTATACACAAACTTTAAAATACGAATCTACGTGCGTCCATAATAAGATTATATCGAAGTCAAATCAGATTTAATTGTATAGAATATTTTTATTTTTATGATAAGTCCCTCTAATTAAATCAATTATTACTAACTCTAACTTGGCAGGGATGAAGGCGTGCGAACCCGCACGGCAAGTTGAACAATTCTTCACAAACACAGGAAAAGCCAGAGATTGTGACCAAGTCATCTCCTCGCTCATTTCACGCACGCGTTAGACAGCTAATGGATTACAATAAATATTTTCCAGCACTAGTATTTCGAAGGAGAAGAAGAAGGGAGAATCTCTTATCAAAAAGAAGATGAAGACTGGATCATCTGTATCGAATATTTGGTGGAAAATTAATGATGAATAGAAATCGAGGAGATTGTGAAATGATAAGTTGGGTTGTGGAAATTAATGTGTTGCTTTCATATTAACACCCATACACACAAACGTTTAATTAGTCTGGCTTTCAAGAGTGAAAAGAGAAGCTTAAACTATTCTAAAAACTAAACCAATACCCATTGATGACACAGGTGCAACATCCCTCAGAATGCAACACCGTCAGATAGCATGATAAACACGCCAAGTACATATAAATACTAAAGTGATCATCGCCCAACTTCAGTCCCAAATGCCATCTGCTTATGGATGCTCTCACAGGCGGCAGCTTCCCCATATCTATCAGGCACATGAGCAGGTGAGTATTCCCTTTCATCTGATTTCATCAAAAGACACTCCTTATTTGCAGCCAGACCCTCCAGCTCCTTTGATATTTCTTTCATCGTGGGCCTTTCCTCTCCTTTTACTCTAATACACTTCCTTGCCAATAAAGCCACTTCTTTCAATTGCTCTACATTCTTCTGGGCTAACACCTGTTTGTCCAGAACTTCCCACAAACGGTTTTCTTTCATTGAAGACTCAAAAGACATGGCCAAATTTACTTGTCCTAGTCTATTGAACTTTACTACTTTGCTTCCAGTCAATAATTCCACCAGTACGACCCCAAAACTATAAACATCGCTTTTTTCATTCAATTGGCCTGTATGGAGGTACTCTGGATCTAAGTATCCAAATGTCCCTTGCACCACAGTGGAGGCATGAGATTCATCGAGAGGAACAAGCCTTGAAGCTCCAAAGTCAGACACTTTTGCCTTGAAGTTACAATCTAGAAGTATATTAGCAGATTTGATATCTCGATGGACAATAGGAATTGACGCGGTAGAATGTAAATATGAGATTGCTTCAGCAGTTTCTGTGGCTATTCTTAATCGTGTCTCCCATGAAAGAGGAAACTGAGTATTCATAGGATCTATGTGGTCAAGAAGTGTGCCATTCTCCACAAACTCATAAACTAACAAAGGAATTTCTGTTTCTAGGCAACATCCCAAGAGAGTGACAACATTTTTGTGGTTGATTTGGGAAAGCACGGCTACTTCACTAATGAAATCTCTAATTTGTCTAGAATCCCATCCTACTCTCGACTTTTTGATTGCAATAGGAGTATTGTTAGGCAATATACCCTTGTAAACAATGCATTGTCCCCCACGACCAATTATTCTACCCTCGTGAAAGTTGTTTGTGGCATTTTTAAGTTCAACTTCTGTGAATATTTTTGTTCTTTCAGCATATCCCTGTTGCTGTGAAAGTTGTCGAAGTAGCATATATCCTCCATTTTGCTCAAAATTTCTTTGTTTAAGATTTTTCACAGTTCTTCGCTTATGCGCCCAACATAATGATGAGACAAGCGTGAAGACAGCCAGTAGGGCCACACTAAAACCTGCAAGAAATGCAGCACGACATGAACCCTCCCTTAAATAAATAAAACCGTCCTTTGAAATGGGGAAGAAAACTTCGTTTACCAATGTGATAGAGCACAAACAAACCGAGATATCACATAACTATTTTTGAAAATCTGGGGATGTTAATTTTTGTTAGGATGGATTTATATGGTGGTCCTGGCATGTGAATGATGGTCAATAAGAATTAATCCTCTGAAAGGGTAAGTTACCTAATAAAAAATCCATCATATTATATATGGATGAAGAAAGACAAATACGCTTGCCTTATGTTAAAATATATAAATAAAAACACGGTTTTTTTTTTGTTGCCAACATATAGATAAAAACACCGTTAAACAAAGAAAGAAAAGATTCTGTTAGACAGAACACACAAAAAATATTTTAAATAATAAAATAAAATAAACAGGACATGCAAATCATTGCATATGATGATAAAATTCTGGTGGACCTTACAATACTAATCAATGAGATATTCTAGAATACATCATTCATATTTAAGATACGGGCAGAAAATAAAACTTATTAGAATGAACCTATTAGTTGCTGATGAGTGAATTGATTGGAGCACTGATTCATTACGATCTCAAACTCGATACCATGTGTTAAAATAAATAAAACATTAATTGAACAAAAATAATTATTTTATTCTTTCAACAGAACGCAAAGAGAGACTCTTCCTCCGATTCTTGATATAGAACCTAATTGTTAAATTAATTTTAATTCCAAATATAAGATCTATTTATCATATTTATCAATTTTTTTAAATTACCTCTATGGATACTCTATTAACCATAATCAAGTAAGTCAAGGAAGAAAGATATTAACAAAGATGATTCTAATGTTTTAGGAAAAACATATCATATTTTTTATAATTAATTAACTTATCTAACTTTTTTAATCTAATCAAATTAGTTAAGTAGGGTTCATATTAAGAACCGTAAGAGTATATAATAGTAGAATAAACCAGAGTCATTCATATTCTTACCCAATGCAACTATAACGACAAGCCATTTATACTTAGATCGACGATGTTCCAAAGTACAGCCCGTCCCATTAGTATAGCCGTCGCCTTTATAACGAGGTGGACAAGAACAGTTGTAACCCCCATCGAAGTTGGAGCATTGCTTTGGAATACTGCAGTTGTTAGGTCTGCTACACTCATCAACATCTGAAAATAAGAAAAGGCTATTAAGTAATTTATTAATTAGTAAATAGTCAATGCTACGAGTGTAAGTGAATGTTTGGGGAAAAAAAAATGGAATTATACATAGAACTGCGTACCGTGACATCCATCGGGATGATATGGATTTCCCTCAAAACCAGTTTTGCATTTGCAATTGTAGCCAACTCCATCATGAGAGTCCACACAATACGAGTTGGATTTGCAGGCATAGCCTGTGGTACTAGTGGAAGCAGTTTGACAAGTAAGATTCGAAATAGTCCAATCTAAGGCGAAAGGAACCATGTCAAAGGGAAAGGACTGTAGATAATCGAGAGAGAAATTAAACCAGCCCTGCTTGGAGAGAAATGCATAGCTGCAATTGTTGAAGCCCAGCACTTTGGCATGGTTGTTGACAGCGGATACTTCCAAGGAGAAATTATTCTTCCCGACCGGAATATTCACCTGGCAACACCCGGTCCCCGAACAAGTGTTCTGGTTGATGTCCTTTGGGGGAGGCGTGTCGCACAGCGTCACGCAGCCACCGGAATAGCTAAGGTTGTCGAGGAAACTAATAACGCCCAATGTGTCGCAGCCAAGACTGATGAACTTGTTTTGGGTGTTCGAAATGGTGAAGGCGCCGGTGTAAAAACTGGAAGTAGATTGGTCTAGATTTACTCCAGAGTGATCGTAACAAATCTTGGAGACTGGCATAGAAATGTCCATCTGACCTTCTTGGAGGGATATGTTTGAAACTGGGACGTCCCTGAAGAATAGTGTGGACCTGTTGCAGGTGAGCTTGAATGGTTCGTCGAAGAAACAGTTTCGAGAAGTACGAGGTTGAACACCCACACCAAATGGATAGGGAATGTCCACGTCTCCGCATTTGTTGGGACATCCTGCAAGGGGTTGAGCTCCAGTTGCAGCCATGGCTGCAGCAAATATTAGAATGAAGACGACCATCTTCAGGGCCATCGGCTCACTTTCTGAGGGAAGCACGGGAATGCGGAAGACGATGATACAGCTGGCTGCTCCAGTACAATACTACGTAGTATGGTACTCCGGTCCTTATTATAAGACCCAATTTGACTTTTTATTTGGTCCTAATTATAAGACCCAATCCATTTTCTCTTTTATATTTATGCATTTTTTTCCAAGATAATCCTTCTAATAATGATAGTTTTAGCTAATATACTTAATTAGCAAGGATATTTTAGGAATAACAACACTTATTTATTATAAATAACCAACTTAACTTACTTCCTTAATCTCCTCAAATAAGTCAATTGGGTCTTATAATTAGGACCGGAAGAGTATAATTATTACAGATGATTTCTTCTTCGATCAAGGATTGTTCATCAATGATTCGAATTCTGCTTGGGAATTGTTAGGGCGATTTAAGGACCAAAGATGATGTTAACCAGATTCGTCATCATTTCGATTTGGGAAGCAAAATCTGTGAGTGCCAATCAACACTAATTACATTATACATTGATTCGCCATTTAATTATTTAAATTTGATTGAAGCCTAGCTTTTAATCAATTTAGAAATTTATTACGATCAAAAAATGGTTTCATTAATCAATAATTGAATTTGATTTTTTAGCCTTAAGTTTAATTAATTCTAGGCTTTGGAGTTCAGATGAGGTTCAAGCAAAATTTAAAATAATCGAATCTAATTATAATCAATCAAAATTTGGAATGATACGAACAAAATCAATCATCAACAGAATTCAAATCTTGCATCAAAATTAATTGACAGCAAAAATTCCACATCTTTTCTTTCTATTGGAATTCGTAATATGAACATTCAAAATTAAATCATTGATGTGACCAAAAAGAAAGAATTTATTGATTGGCTGTAATTTATGAGATATTCCTTAAATAATTGAAGAACATCTATTACATATTCGGTAATTGATTGCGGTTTATCTAATCAATTCAAAATTAGTGAGAGCTATTTTTAGTAGATAATATTACCGACTTAATATATGTTTTTTTTTTTGGTTGGCAAAACAAGAAAAGAACGCTCTGATCCGAACAGCATCATTTTCCTGAAACAATCCAACACGTTCTTTTCGTCCAAAAATATACTTTTGTCTCTTTGCCGACAGCCCAAAAATCTAATTGCCCACCGCGAAATTGCGCACACACTTTTTTTGTTTTTTTAAAGAAAAGAAGAATCAACGGAGGGGGTCATGCTGACAATTTTTTTTTTTTTCCTGTAGGGCAAGACAGTTATGATTTAACAATTCATATGTTATTTGTTCTCCCATTAATTTTTCTCGTCTTTTCGGGTCGCAAATACATATATATTATCTTTTTGATTGCCAGCCATTATATTATCTACTACACTGAATCAATAATAAAATAATAAGTAAATGAGAGTGCAAAACTTTGTTTTACTTACAAAATATTAAATAGCAGTGTACTTCTCTAGTCCTATTTATAGGGTAGGGAGAAAACATTCTTTTGTCCTATTTATAGGACACTGAGAAAAATTTATTGTATGGACTTAAAATTTTGTATTTCATTTGTTATTGTATTGACTTTGTTTATATGAGGTATAATATATATTAAATAAAGATAAAGTTGGAAAGTTGATGAATTTTAAATGAGAGTTAATGAAATTTAAGATTTTTCTTAGTCTGTATGAAATATGTTGCAAGTAACTTATAAATAGGACCAAAATAATATATAGCTAACAAATTTCTGATGCAGCCGGCCAGAGGGTCTCGATTTATACGTCCATAAGAAGTTTAATTTTGAATAGCAATTAACTATCATCGTCGCATAATGATGACCACATTTTAATGTATCAAATCTGAATATTGAATATTTTGTAACATAAAATTACATGAAAATGAACCAATTTACAAAGAATTATATTTTTTCAGAAGAAAATAGAAAAATATGTACAAAAACCATCTCAAGCAATAATCAAGAGAGGGCGGGGGAAGGCAAAAGGGCAAAAACTTTGGTGGAGCCGATCCCAGTTATCATCTACCGCTGTCCAAGTTAATTAGAACATGATCCTTAATGCTATCCCAAACTCTGTTTCCATGAATCATGCTATCACCGTATTCAGTAAAATTGGACGTCTCGCCCAGCAAAGTTTGAGCTTCCTCCAGATTCAGCTCTTTGTTCACCCCTAACTGATTCCCCATCATCTTTATTCCCTCCAGCTCCCCTGCTACTTCCTTCATGCTGGGTCTCTCCTCTCCTCTCAGTCTCACGCACCCTGCTGCAAGCATAGCCACCTCTTTCACCCTCTCCTTATTTTCATCATTCATCACGCCTTTCTCAACAACTTCATCTAAGTGACCCTGATTCAAGTACGTAAGGAAGTGCATTGCCAGATTTACTTCCTCTTCTGGCCTCTCAAACGAAACGGCTTTCTTCCCAGTTAGCAGCTCTACGAGCACCACCCCAAAACTATACACGTCACTTTTCTCTGTCAGCTGATTTGTCTGCATGTATTCCGGATCCAGATATCCGAAAGTACCTTGTACCATTGTGGCTAACCCTGTTTGATCAAGCGGAACCAATCTGGAAGCTCCAAAATCAGAAACCTTGGCAGTGAAGCTCTCGTCTAGAAGAATGTTAGCGGACTTGATGTCTCTGTGAACTATGGGTATGGAAGCAGCGGAATGTAGATAAGATAGTGCCCCTGCTACTTCTGATGCTATCCTCAAACGGGTTTCCCAAGTGACCGGAGAAGATTTTCTTTTGTCGTGCATTAAGTCAAAGAGGGTGCCGTTATTAATAAACTCGTAGACCAATAAAGGAACTTCTGTTTCCAGACAACAACCTAGGAGCTTGACTATATTACGGTGATTTATTTGGGAGAGTACGGTCACCTCGTTGATGAATTGTTCAACTTGGCTCTGGTTCATCAGTTTGGATTTCTTGATTGCAACGATTTTCTTGCCTGGGAGAAATCCTTTATAAACAGTACCAAAACCTCCTCGGCCAATGATCAAGTTGTCATGATAGTTGTTGGTGGCCCTTTTCAATTCCTCAGCAGAAAAGATTTTAACCGCAAGGGAGGGATCATGTCCACCAGAGAGTCGTTGTTGCAGTATGAAACCGCCGTTCTGACGAAAAAATTTCTCCTTTTGCTTGATGAGCTTCCTCTTCTGGGAGACCAAGTACAACCAAGACAAACTCATAAAGAGAGCTGCCAAGCCTATACTTACACCTGCATATGTCGAAGGAGACAGGGACTTTAGATGACTAGGTACATATTACACTTACACGATTAGTTTAGCTTAGCTTAATGAAGGAAACAAAAGAGGAGCAATACTGAGAAAACGCCTTACCAATGAAGACCATAGTAAGGGGATTTTTTGACAGGGGTGGCTGGCATGAGAAAACGCCTTACCAATGAAGACCATAGTAAGGGGATTTTTTGACAGGGGTGGCTGGCATCCTCCGGCCGTGGTTCCGTTGCCAGTGTAGCCAGGTGGACAAAAACACTCAAAAGACCCGATCGTGTTGCGGCAATTTTCTTTACTTATGCAGTTGTTGGTCGATTCCTGGCATTCGTCTACATCTGCAATTTCATATCATTGCACAAGCAAGGAATGATATAAGTGAATGCTACATCGGAAAAAGAAAGTGATCAAATTTTACCTAATTGCTTGGAGAATAAATGGAATTATGGAATTACCGTGGCATCCATCTGGATGGTATGGGTTTCCGTCAAAACCGGGTTTGCATTTGCAGTTGTACCCAAATCCATCATTGGAGTCGACACAATCAGTGTTAGAGGTGCAGGCATAATCTGACGTGGCCGAAGCAGCTTGACAAGTATCATCCGAAACAGTCCAATCTAGGACAAGCGGGACCGTGTCAAGGGGAAAGTCTCGCAGATAATCAACTGAGAAATTAAACCACCCCTGTCTGGCAACAAAAGCATAACTGCAGTTGTTGAAATCCAACACGTTTGAGTGGTTGAAGATGGCGGATGCCACAACACTAATATTCCTCATCCCCACAGGAATATCCACCTGACAACACCCAGTCCCCGAACAAGTTTTATCATTCAAATCTTGTTGAGGAGGCGCGTCACAGAGCGTCACGCAGCCACCATAATAAGTACGATTGTTTTCGAACTGAACTATGCCCAAAGTGTCGCAACCAACGCTTACGAACTTGTTTTGGGTGCTGGAAATGGCGAAAGAGGGAGTGTTTCCGAGATAGTGACTGTCAGAGCCAGCGCCGCCAGGTTGATTGTAACAAATCTTGGAGACAGACATGGAAATGTCAAGATGACCACCTTGAACAGATATGCTAGAAACTGGGCGGTCTCCGTAGAATAATGTGGAGGTGGAGGTATTGCAGGTGAGATTGAATGATTCTTGGAAGAAGCAGTTGCGACCAGTACGAGGTTGCACGCCAACGCCAAATGGATATGGAATCTGTACATCTCCACATTTATGGAGGCAGCCTTCAAGGGATTGAGCTTCTGCTACGGCTACTAATAATAATGGAATGAACCAAAGCTTTGTAAGTCGCATCGTCTCCATTTTTAGCTCAACAGGAAGCTCTGCGAGCTCCTCTTTAATACACACCTGGCCTATTGTGTGTAAAATACAATGTTCAATTTGAGCGACTGGTCAAATTGAAAACTTCAATGCCGTCTTGTTCATTTAGGACGGCATCCTTGTTTAAACCGACTTTAAAATATCCGTGCGAACGCGTTAAAGGGACTGGTTCAATTTCGTTATACCGCTCTGTTGATGTGATGAATCATTTTTTTTTTGGCCAAAAATGTGATGAATCATATTGAAGCTGTGCCAGCAGTGTCATTCTTTGATAATTCCCTCTCCCTTTTAGTTTTTATTATTCCTCCTATACTAAATATAAAACCTATATATTAGAAAATTAATCTTATATTTAAGACGAGGAAGTATTATATATCGAATTTCTGTCTACCACGTGCAGCTTAGTCAAACATGCTCCATCGACTATTGTGTACTAACCTCCCTCTTTTAATCTGTCAAATTTATAACCAATTAAAATTGACCAACGCACAGATATGTGTGTGTACATTTTACTAAATTTGCCCTTTTGTTTGTTAATAACAGTATTTTAATGCATCTAAAAAATTATTTTATTTAAAGAGTAAAATAGAAAAATGATACGGAATATTCTTTTTTTGGAATTGAGAAAATACATATAATATGAAACAAAGATGTTCACCTAACAAAATAAATACAATGAAACAATGAAACAAGAATGGCAAAAGAATAGACGCGCATGAAACTATGAAAGAGTAAAGGTACATTGAAAAAACTTAAATATACGCTCAGGTAAAAAAAAAAAAAAACTTAAATGTACGCCGAAAGACTCCCAACGCCAAGGGGATCATATAGGAAGCTTAATAGTAGTATCTTTGATTTCAATCATCAAGAGCATCTATAAGACTGGCAAAAAAAAAAAAATGGTTGCATATTAATTGAAACGAAAATAGACAAAACAGTTGCATTTTTTATTTTAAAAAAGTACAGCTGCAAAGCGCAGAAATTTGGTGATGTCGTAGGGAGGAGTCACCTTCCATCATCTAAATTAATCAGCACACGATCGGTAATGCTATCCCACCCAGTGTCCTTATAAACCATGCTATCAACAGATTCAGTAAAACAGGACGTCTGGCGAAGTAATGACCGTGATTCCTCGTCGTTGTTGATCCATGGATGTTTCCCCATCATCCTTATTCCTTCTAACTCCATAGCCACTTCCTTCATGCCTGGTCTCTCCTCTCCTTTAAGTCTCAAGCACCTCGCTGCAAGCTCAGCCACTTCCTTCACCGTCTGCTTATTTCCATCATTCACCATCCCTCTTTCAACCACTCCCAACAGGCGACCCTCGTTCAAGTATGATAGGAAGTGCATTGCGAGGCTTCTCTCCTCTTCTGGCCCATCAAATAACAGCGCCTTTCTTCCTGTTAGGAGTTCCAGAATTACAACTCCAAAACTGTACACATCGCTCTTTTCTGTGAGTTGGTTCGTTTGCATGTATTCTGGGTCCAAGTATCCGAAAGTACCTTGTACCATTGTGGCCAGCTCCACTTGATCAAGTGGAACTAATCTGGAAGCTCCAAAATCAGAGACTTTGGCTGTGCAAGTGTCATCCAGAAGGATGTTAGAGGACTTGACGTCTCTGTGGATGATGGGTATGGAGGCAGCAGAGTGTAGATACGACAGTGCTCCTGCCACTTCTGTTGCTATCCTCAAACGGGTTTCCCAAGTAAAGACAGAAGCTTTGCTTTTGTTGTGTATGGATTCGTACAGGGTACCGTTATTGACAAACTCATAAACTAATAAAGGAACCTCTGTTTCCAGACAACAACCTAGGAGTTTGACCACATTCCTGTGATTTATCTGGGAGAGTATAATCACCTCATTAATGAATTGTTCAATTTGGCTTTGATCCGCCAGTTTTGATTTCTTGATTGCGACACTAGTGTTGTCTGGGAGAATTCCTTTGTAAACAGTACCAAAACCGCCTCGGCCAATAACTAAGCTGTCGTGGAAGTTGTTGGTGGCCCTTTTCAATTCTTGAACAGTAAAGATCTTGGCTGTGAGGGAGGAGCCTTCTTTTACAGAGAGCTTCTGATGCAAAACAGCGCCCCCATTTTGTCGAAAGAATTTGTCCTTTTGCTTCTCCAACTTCCTCTTCTGGTACATCAAATACATCCAGCCCACACTAAGAAAAAGAGCTACCAATCCTACGCTTGCTCCTGTATGAATGAAGAAACAAAAACAGAGCATTCAAGAATCGGCGGCCCAAGTACTTGTAATTATAATTGTTTTCCAAAGTAATACTAGAGGGAGCGATAAAGAGAAGGGGATGCCGTCACGAAAATCTGAGAAATATCGACTATAATTTTATAGTTGTTATGATAAATACCCCCTGAATGGTTTTGTGAGAAGTTGTCGTGAAAATAACTCAAGAACAACACGCCAATAATATCGGGGAATCAAATTTAAGATATGTTTATTGGCTAGTTCAAAACGTTAACATGGTTACCAATGAGAAGTTTTGTAAGTGGGTTGTGGCGCCAGGGTGGGTGACATCCTGCTTCCTTGGTACCATCCCCAGTGTAGCCGCGAGGGCAATAACATTCATAAGACCCAACAGTGTTACGGCAGTTATCTTCACTTGTGCAGTTATGGGTCAATTCCTTACACTCGTCTACATCTGTCCGTACGTGCCAAGAACGCATATAAGTTACTGAATATAAAGCATAGGAACAAACAAAGAAACGAAGGGGATTAATGAATGACCTTGGCAACCCGTGGGAAGATATGGGTTCCCTTCAAAACCGGGTTTGCATCTGCAACGGTACCCGAATCCATGGCCCGAGTCTTCACAGTCGGTGTTGGATTTGCAGGCATAGTCTGGCGATGTCTTCTCACTTTCACATGTGCCGTCGGAAATGGCCCAGTCTACCACCAGCGGAGCCTTCTCAAACGGTAAGGACCTGAGGTCGGCCGTAGAGAAATTAAACCAGCCATCCTTGGCCACAAAAGCGTATGTACAGTTGTTGAAGTCGGATGCCTTTCGTTGCAAATTAAAGCTGAAGGCTTCAATACTGATATTCCTCATTCCCAGAGGAACATCCACCTGGCAGCACCCAATCCCAGAACAGGTTCCATCGTTCTGCTGATTGGGAACTCCGTTACATCGCGTCAAGCAGCCGGTGGAATATGTATGGCTGTCCTGGAAACTGTTTAAGTAACCGTAAGTGTCGCAGCCAACGCTTACGAACTTGTTTTCAGTGCTAGAGATGGTGAAGACAGGAGTTGACAGGGTGACTCTAATATTGGCTACTACTCCCCCTGTATCATTGAAACAAACCTTGGAAACTGGCATGGACACGTCCATGTGACCCTGGAGGGATATGTTTGAGATTTCGACGTTGCCGTGGAATAACGTGGAGTTTTTACAATCCACATGAAAGGGCTTCTCAGAGAAACAGTCGTTACCCGTACCAGATTGAGCGCCTACCCCAAACGGATATGGAATCTCAACTTCTCCGCATTTTTCGGGGCAGCCCGGCAGGGATTGGGCTGCGGCAACTGCCATTACTGCTAATGCAGTCATCCACCACAAGCACATCTTAATGGCCTTCCTCGTCCCCTCACGGAGATCGTAATGGTAGTTAGTTATTGCCCTTTAGTCTAATCGGCCGGATTCAAGTTCTTGTAGAGTGATTTCTAAGACACACTTGGGAAGCGTGGAAAAGGAATCTCAAGTTCTATAGTACAATAAGTAGGGTTCATGCAGAGCCAAACGCCATGCTTGCGTACAAAAGAGAAGGCCTTCATTTGTTGTTCCCTATGTTAGTCGTCTTGGGGGACGTGCCGGCCGGCCGGCCGTGCTTGGCATTGGGGTCATGGGTTCAATTCGAATGCCAGGTGTTTTCAAGCTTAAACGATAAGCAACAACTTGGGCGACCATTTTGGTATTTAACAGTTGTCGCCGTCATTCATTACCGACGGATAACGCTAAATTTAGTCACCATTTAAGTCAAACGTCTCAGATTTTTTGCATAACAAAATCGGTATCCAACTTTTTGGTTTTTTTTCCTCCTGCCATCAACTTTTTGGTAAATCATGGCTCAACACAAGCGTAGCAATGTGTGGCTCTATCGTTCTTTCAGTAATAAATCGACTGTGTTTTTTTCACCCGCATTAAAAAAACATTGTTTTCTATCCATGTATACGAATTTTTTCTCATTCGAATAAATCTACTGTTTTGTTTCCAAACGATTTTCATGATTGTTAATAGTTTTATTGACAATGCCAATCACTTAAACTGATTTGTCGACTTTCAGTGAGTTGGTTGGAGTTTTTCTTAATTTTATCAACAGAGGGAGAATAAGGCCCAGAGATTAAAACATATGTTTAATATGAGAACAATGACTAGAAATTGTTCGGCCCATAAAAGGTTAGACCCAAGTGAATTTTTGTGGACTTAGTTCGGTCAATTATGTGATGGCCCAAAAAGGTTAACGAACTAACTGTACGAAAGATTTTTATCAGCATTTTTGAAATTAAATAAATATTATCTCTGAAAAATTAAATGTGTTTAAATAAAAATAGCGCGAAATAAATCGTTAGTCCCGAGGTGGAAGTGTGAAATGGAGGAGCGAGGACAGCGAATTGTGTGACTTTCTTCCTTTTTTTTCCCCCTTTCCGCATCAAGCGAGTTGTATTGCATTAGTTATTTGGTTAGCGTAATGGAAGAGTATGAAAGCAGCTTCAGGGAGTAACCCCGCATCATTGTCCTTACCCCCCCCCCCTCTTTTTTTAACGTTTTCCCCTCCTCATCTCATCGTTACCGTTGAATAAAAATATGAATTATTGAAATTCAATATTGCATAAAATCATTATTGTTTTCAATCTTGAGGTAATTTATAATTATGAATTTTCCAAATGAGAATTTAATTTTTTAATTTATTTACTATTTATCTAATAATATAAGCATAATTTGACAATACATTGACACTCAGTTATTTATTTTTTAATTTAACGATAAAAATGGAATGAGAGAAAAAAGAAGAGAGGAAAAAAAACGACGAGGAGAATATTCAAATCCCTGTATATTCTCGAGTCCAACTGGGCAAGTGTGTTAAGTTAATTAATTAATAATTGTAATGATATAAAACGTGGTCCGAAGTTGACGTCGAAAGTGGGGGATGAAATACTTTGAATGAGAAAATGGGGAGAAATGGAAGATAAAGGAAGAGATATGGTGGCAGGGGTGGGGAGAGCCGGGGAGGGGACGAATGTAAAAGGTCAAAGAGAGAGCGGGGGAGAGAGTCCAAAAAGGAGAGATGCTGAGCGTCCTGCGAGGAAGCAAAGTACAGAGAATAGGAAATTTGATGAAGGGTCACATCAACACAACATTACACCCCCTCCTGCAACATCTCTTTTTTCAGTAACCAAATAACTCAAACTAAATATTTATTTATAGTCGTCGTCATCCTCCCCCTCTCCCCCCCCTCCCCCATCTTCTCTCTCCCTCTTTCTGCCCCGTCTCCTTAGCCTCTGCACCTGGGCGTCACCTCCACTTCACTACTCCCCGCCCTAACTACATGTCATCTGCTCCATCATCTTTCTGTGCTCTCCCCGCTCCCCCTGCTTTTTCCGGCGACTATTGTGCATGTCACAAGACTCCCATCTCATCTCCCACCTACTAATTTCTAGCCGCTCTTTTTTACTCCCCAACAAATTTTCGGAACCCAACTGCTTGTATCATTTAACAAAAGAACCACACGCAGAAAGAGCAGCTTCCGAATACAACCCCCGTCACCGCCGGCGATCGGGATCGGTGATCTATTTGGTATTACTAGGCGTAGTACAATTTTGGAGAAACTCGCTAGACACCAAGAAAGTTGACCCAAGAAAATCGAGGCCAGCCATATTCAAGGTAGTAATAATCCCCACTCCGTCAACCGGCCAGCTGCCTCTATTCTTCTCCATCATTGCATATTTTATTCTATCATTACTAGGATCTCTAGCTCGCCACGATCGAGGAATATATCAGAATATGTACTGTAGCGGTATTTTATTTCAGCACTCTGCTTGGTTAGCCTCAAAACCATCATCTCATTCTTCTCCGATTAATCTTTACTTCCACATGTTACTTTGAAAATCTCCATTTTTTTTTTTTTTGTAATTTCTTTTCTCGCTTTTGGACTAGTATGTGCAGAGAATGAATGAAAACGATGTACTCAAGAGTGATCAATAATTAACATATATTATAATATATTTATGCGGTGAAATTCAAGCATGATCTGCGGCCCAGCAACTTTTTTCATGGGAAGCAGTGACATAAAAATTCTCTTTACGAGATCCAATCCGTCAAATCCACCGGCACCATCAATTGTATCCCCTTTTCTCCCTTTCTGCCTCCGCTCCTTTTCTCTTAAAAGCAAATAAAATACCTTAAACTCCCTCTTCTTCCTCTTCTTCATCAAGATCCTACTCTGCGGAGCCACTCCTATCTCCTGATCACTTCACCTTTCATCTCCTGGGTATTGATGAGAAAAAGTAGACTTCTTTTGTTCCATAAAGTCTTCTTCGTGTGATTACAGGTACTTCTGATCTCGCAAGACGCAATATATAACATAACTTGTTTGTCAACCGCAGCGCAAAGCCGAGAATGATTAGAGCGTCGATTCGCGTCTCAGTCTAAGCAGATCGAAATACCAAATCAAGATCCTTCAAAGCCATATAATATGTGGGCCTCAACTGCGCATGATTCCTTCCAATATTCATTATTAGTAGAATAGTTTTCATCTAGCACATATACTTGAATTGATCAATGTTTCTCTACTTTCCTTCTAATATATGTCTTACTGAATTTATCTCACGCATATCAAACAAATATTGGAGTAATTGCAGAGGAATAAAAGAGGGAGAGGGAGAGGGAAGAATGGCGTCGTCATCGAATTCACCATGTGCGGCCTGCAAGTTTCTGCGGCGAAAGTGCCAACCAGAGTGCGTGTTTGCACCCTACTTCCCCCCAGATCAGCCACAGAAATTCGCGAATGTGCACAAAGTATTTGGAGCGAGCAATGTCACCAAGCTCCTGAACGAGTTACACCCCCACCAGCGTGAAGACGCCGTCAATTCTCTGGCCTACGAGGCCGACATGCGCCTCCGTGACCCCGTGTACGGCTGCGTGGGAGTGATCTCTC